AACTCCATATTTTCCGAGGTCTTCCACTCGCTCTATACCCGTTGTGACTTTTAGTGTGGCTCGCTGTGACAGATAGTACCAGTGCGTTCTTGTTAGGTGTCCAAACCACTTCATTTGTTGTTTTTGATGACATGTAAGACTGACTTTTTTTTTCTTCTAGCATTTGTCTGGTTTTGTGATAATGATTCTGTCTTTCTTTTAAACTCCTGCAGCTCGTCTAAGTCATTTCATCTCTGTTGTCACATTTTTAAGTTCATTGGGGGGATGTAAGCGTTCTGATAAGATATATAACTCACACTTCATTGCCAGGGCTACGATAAAACATTTCGTGGCCCCTGCTTAGAAGAACCAATGCATGTTCTTTACTTCTCCTGTTTGTGCGGCTTAGCGGGAGACTACTACATTTTGTCATAGCCATATTTCTTTTCCCTCTTCTACCTACTTTTATGTTGTTGTTTTTTCCTTCTTCCCGCAAGCACACTAAGAAAAATATTTGCAGAGGATGGCAGACTTGACAGACAGATAGAAGCCAGAGTACAAAATATCAAGTGCCCCCCCCCCCCCCACCTTTTTAAATATCAAATTCCTGAGCTGGGTGGGGAGGGGGGGGGGGTGTGTGGGATAAAACACCCCCAACCCCCAACTGTTAACTTCGTGACGCTGCGCTTGGTCCGGGGGCAGTCTACAATAACCAAATATTCAGCCCACATCTCTTCATATCATGGCAAACTTACTGTTCGTCCATTTGCTAGTTTAAGTAGATAAGTCCGTAAACAGCTAACCTGAAGTTATAAGTATGGGTACAGCAGCATATTGCCAACCAGAAGGCCGTGTAGCCAACAAGCAGAAGTAGATATGCACATACACACGGCGTGACTTGGTTTGGCTGACGGCGGGCAAGAAACCCGCAGTGTCAACAAACCAGGGCCGTGCTGCCGTGTCAGAGCTGATCAACATTCAACAAGGCAAGGACACAGGTTGTCAATTACTTTGCTAATACAACTTGCTTAAATGCTGCTACTTTTAAAGAAAAGCGTTCATTTACTTCTTTTTGTACTGCTGTTGTTGGTACTACTACTATTGATTTATATTATTTATCATTAGACTGAGTTTATAGTATACATTGTCATTGTCTACAAGTCCCTTCACTGCATAATTAGTACTTTTTAGTTGTTTTAAAAATTGACTCCGTGTAATTAATTCATAAATTTAACAATTAAAAAATAGATCAGCGGAATAAAACCGCACACAAGTTATCCATTGGTCTCTAATCTAAGTCTCAGTTAGTGAGACTTTGAGGTAGTGAAGTATATCTCATTTGCCACATTGCAAAAGTCAGAAGTGTGTTGTGCGTTGGACACACCTTCAACTACATCGGACTATCAGATTCGGACTATGATTCAGATCAGTTTTATCCTTCTTACTTTTTGCCATCTAAGGTGAACACACACAATACTGCTCCACATTTGGACACTAGCTTAGTATTTAAATTAGCGTAAAGGTCATGGGTGGTGAGCATACTTTGGATCTTTTCTCCAGGAATGCCAGCGTGGTGGGTAATGAACAGGCAGACAGATTGGCTAGATCCGCACCACTGGGGGGTGAATTGATACATGAAAAGGCAGATGTTGTCAAGGCCCTTTGGGAACAAGCAACGGAATCTGTAGAGAAAGAAGGTTATTATAGTCTGGGGAGAATGAGGCACCTGGGTGTAACCAGAGGGTCTGGCCGGCTGACAACTCTCAGAGGAAAGGCAAGACGGACGTTTAACCCAGATTGTGACCAGTACCATCAGTATTGGAACTCTGCGCTAGCTGCTGAAGATGAGGACTGATCATGCATGGAAATGCTCCGAGTGCTGTGATGTCAATTCTTGATTCAACTTAACTCATAAATTATCAAAAATACTTACTGTACCTACTTGCTACAGAAATATTTGCAAAAATAAATCAAAATTTATAATGTTTAAAAAGTTTGTTGCACATCCTTTACAACAGTGCTATTCAACCTTTTTTGTGTGTATTCATGTGCCCCACCCACCACCCACCCCTCCCCCACCCCTAAAAAAATGTGGATCACCTGACAGCTAAACCAGAAATAAAATCTGGTTAATATTTTTTTAATGTGCTATCCCCAGATTTAAGGTTATCTGCAGCCTATGGACTGCTGTACTTGGGGATATTACATGGTGAGGTTCTAATCTATTCTGCACCACTGTTTAAAAATGATAGGAAGAAAGGTTTTTCTTTCTTCTAAACAGTGGGTTACATAAATCCAACCCTGGTGTGGAGAAGATTTGATGTGAAATTATTTCACTAATGTTTGTTTATTAATCTACGGATGATCCAAATTTAACAAGTCCATAAGCACTTCCACCCTGCAGCCTGTGGTTACTGATAATATTAATTCTGTGTTGGTTTACTATTCTTCTTTGTCTGCTTGTATAGTGTTTGTGTCTGGTAATACCTCTTTTTACCTAAAGTTCTTGTAGTCTTTTGGATGTTGCTGACTCACCATTGTCTCCTGAATCCTCTATCTGTTCGTCCTGCCTCCTTGAGAGCATTAGGAACATCTGCTCATTCTGTTGCTTGCCCTGTACCTACCAGCAAGCCAGTTCACTCATTTATTCCCTCTTACACCAGAGTGCCCTGGCAGAAAAATTAAACTGATTCCTAAAGGAGAAATTTCTTCAGAGACTACAACCATTATCTTCATGCCTGTCCTGTCTCAATCATGCTCATGGATCACCTAGCAAGCATCCATGGGTACAGTTCTGTGTTTCACCAGCCTCTATGTCCACAGTCTGCACTAAATAGAGACAGCATTTTATGTGTTAAAAACAATTTTAAATTACAATTGTTAACTACTTGGAGTTAGTAGTAGTAATTTAAACAACAGTATCCTTTTCAACCAGTCTGGTGTATTGTTGGGATATATTTAATTTGTCTTTTGTCTTTTTTAAGAATGGATATGCCAAACAATTATTTTTCGTTATTCAAAATAGCCTAGCTTATATATTAATTGTATGTGATTGTAGGAGTGCAGATTGTTAAATTCAGTATATTTCAAGTGCACTTTCAAACAGTTATAGTAATTATGTTGTGTAGTCTATCTTTATGGACATTTAAAGTAATCTGTGATAAATTCTTCTCTCTTAAGATGTATTAACATCTGATATGTCCCTGTTGTGGTGTACTGTTGAATCCTTCCCTGTAGTTCTCTAAGACCATCTACTCCAAAAATATTTTCTGTTTATCAAAGGATTATTGTAGAGCATCATATATTTATGAAGGTTAGTCCTTGGGTGCTCATATTTCTTGCAGTATAATAAATAAAGTTCCAGTATTATGATTGATCAGCTGGTCGATAGAACACCAGTTAGAGAACACTGCTTTAAGGATGTTGCACAACCAGCCCCATTTTTGTTTTGTGTATGTTGTTTGGGATGTTACAATGCATTTTTATTTTCAGTTATTAGCCAATGCTTTCAGAATGGCTTGGTTTCAACACCATTGTCAAAATCAACACAAAGTGACTGCTGCTAAATTGCCTGCAGCTGCAGCTGGAATTGAACTCAGTAATTTGAAATTGACAAATTGCATTTGCAACATCTAAGCCAGAGCAGCCGACAATATAAGAAATAACCCATTTTATTATAATATCATCATTCGCCTTTCACTTGGCTTAGGCGTTCACATCTCTGCGTATCTTTCTTCTGGATATTCTGGATAAATTCTGCTGATATTCTTCCCTGCTACTTTTTTAAACCATATAACATAATTTCTCTGTCAGCCTCTGCTTCTTCTACCACAGATCTTTCCCATCTCAACAAGATGTTCTCCAGTGCTTTTCTTTTTATTTTTTTTTTACCAGAGAATACGTTTTGTCTCTTCTCAACATTACATATTGAATTATACTTCTGCCCCTTCCAAGCAGTTATTAGTTACCCTGACAGTCCTCGGTGTTCATACCAGTCATCTCAGAAAGCACATCTCCAGTGGGGAAGTGTTCCCACCAGTCATCTCAGAAAGTACATCTCCAGTGGGGAAAGGTGTTATACCAGTCATCTCAGAAAGTACATCTCCAGTGGGGAAAGGTGTTTATACCAGTCATCTCAGAAAGCACATCTCCAGTGGGGAAGGTGTTCCCACCAGTCATCTCAGAAAGCACATCTCCAGTGGGGAAGGTGTTCCCACCAGTCATCTCAGAAAGCACATCTTCAGTGGGGAAGGTGTTTCCACCAGTCATCCCAGAAAGCACATCTCCAGTGGGGAAGGTGTTCCCACCAGTCATCTCAGAATCCAGTTGGGAAAGGGATGAATCTGGGGAAGGACACTGCTAACTATTTCAAGTCAATTAACTCTTCCTGACCCAAACAGCTGAGCAAGAGTTTTGAAGAAACAACATACGATACAGGTGTCTTCTTTCATTCTGTATTCCATCTGGCTGTTCTCATAATCCACCCTATCCTAGTTGTTACAATCACTTTATCTGTTCAGTAAGGTTTACCTGAGCTTCTTTAGATTCAACTTGAATTAATTTGAAGTAATTATGGCTTCAGATAGAACAGGTTTATGTAGCAACTGTGTGGTGCTGAAAGTTCAAGGACAGAAAGAAGAGACAGATAACGAGAAGAGATTACGCTAAGTAGAAAATATACTTTAATGTTTGGCTTGTTAGAAGATACACGTGTGTGTCTCTGATTAGTTAGAAGATACACTCGTATATCTGATTAGTTAGAAGTAAAAGGTGCAGTTATGTGTCTCAGTATTTAGAAGATACACTCATATGTCTTACTAGTTAGAAGAGCTAACTAACAAGAGAAGTTTAATTAGATGAAGTAACTCATAATGAGATTATAATAATACTCAGTAAATCAGCAAGAGAGCTGTGGTAGTTCACTAGCAGTTACTACTTGGCGTAATAATTGCAAACATTCAATTATATTTCAGAACTGTATTTTTCCCTGTCAGAACTGTGAAGACCGGGTCTATTGAATCATGACTTTATCTAAATTAACACCACTTGTGAGCACTATCTGGTTGAAAGAACAGATCTTGGCTTCTTTGCAAAACACAGCTAAGCTAAATAACTCTCTCCGGGTGCTTGACACATCATGGTTGCCAGACCCGGAGGTTGATGGTTATAAACAATTTTATGCCCAGTAAGTTGATGTGTTGATGTTGTTTTTGTTCATGGTGAAGAATATTGAACACCATTGATTGAGAGTATAGAAAAATGCATGTTGTGCATTGATATGTGCTGTCAGGCATGATGTCGACTGCTAAGGTGAGAGTGACTGCTTGGCGGCCCATTTGAGACGTGTAAGATCGGCCAGGGGCTTGTGGTTAACAGGCAAAACACTCCCTTTGAGACATGCACGGGAATGTGAGCCAATAATAGACTTCCACTGATCTGGGCAGAGGCAGTTGAATCAGTGAAAGCGTATAAACTCACAACTTGAAGGTTCATGTTAACGTGACCAGCATAAAACATATTACACTCTACAAGCCAAGTGTGGGGAAAATAGTCGGAAATTATTTCCACTGAAAGCGATGGTCAAGGACTGCCAGGCATTATCTAGAACTCCTGACGCAATATGACAACCGTAACGATAACAGTCAACTCCAAGGTGTCCAAACTTCAATCAAATGACGAAGGCCATGTACGTAGTGTAACACTGGTGTATTACGAACACTATGATCCGAATGAACATGTGCAATAACGTGATATGTGGACAAGACTTACCCAAACACTCCCAAACATTAGAATCCATATTTCATATAGTTTCATCACTTCTTTGTCTGCCTGTCATTTAAAGTTTTCTGTAGCTATAGCTAGGTCTGGTGTACTTTGTGTTCACCGTCGTTCAGAATAGAAGGTTGGTTCAGATTCAGTGATTAGAATCAAGTTTCCTACCATCCATTCCTCTACCTCTTCTCCTCTTGTATCCATAGAAGCATAGCCCCAACCAGGGAAGTGAATGGTAAAGTCACAGAAAATTAGGTAGCTCTTATCAAAAACTGGGATGTCCTCTAGTTCCAATTTCTTGTTGTTGGAACAGTAAAAGTTAGTAACGTACAGCAGCTCTGGAAGGATATGTAGTTCTACAGTCAGATGTTCAGACTCACTGATGCTTCTAAAAGTTTATGTGGCTGCAGTATTATTTTTAACTAATGTAGTGATGCTTTTTTTGTGTGGCCATCTCTGTCTAGCCTATATGTTTCATAGCCTCTGACAGAGGTTTGTAGATGTATTTTTGCAGTTCGAGCTTTTTCATCATGACCTCTTCTGCTTTCCACTACATTATCTTAAGTGTTTTGGTATAATTTTAGCCAGATGCATTATTCTGCTTAATCCTGGTCCGCTGATGCACAGAGCTACCAATCCTTAGTTTAGGGCCGATCCCTTCGAGGCTCAGAATCCGGCACTGTTCCCACCATCACATCATAAGTTATCATGGGAAAGAAGCATGATCTTAAGAGTTTGACTTTAACTTGCTTGCAGGTGCTGTGCCTTAGGTTAGAGATTAGATTTTACACCAGAGAGGAAATCCAGTCCCCAGGTGTGACCCTTTAGGACAAACTACACCCTCCTGCTCACTACTCATGCCATAAAAGACCTATAGCAAACATCATCACCGAAGAAGAATAGGAAAAGAAGAAGGTTGTTATTGAAACAGCTTTTTATGAATACTTACTGAACTTATTATTATTTTTGCGGAAGACCAGGCAAAATCATAGCACCAACAACAGAAGAACTACAAAAACATATAAATAGACTCCACTCAGAATACGACAACTACGATATGAAGATCAACGTAAACAAAACAGAAGTGATGACATTCTCCAGAAAAGGAAGAACCGCCAATATCAGAATTGATGAACACCAGTTAAAGCAGGCAATGGATTTTACGTATCTGGGAAGCATTTTTTCAGAAGACGGAAGAATGAATAAAGAAATCCAACAAAGATGCAGTTTTTTGCCAATCAAGTTTTAGGCCAAATGGCACCAATTTTGCAATTCAAGCCATGAATATGAACAGGAAAAAAAAACACTGTTTAATACAGTATTCTTACCAAGGCTCTGATATAAATGTCAAACATGGGCACTGTCTTCAGAAGACAAAAGGAAAATATTTACGACAGAAATAAAATGTTTACCTACTATGCTCGGTGTAACGAGGAAGATTGACTTAGGAACGATGTTATCAGGAGGTGAATCAGCACGGAACCATTACTGAACTTTAATGGAAAACAACAAATCAAATGGTTCGTTATGTAACAAGACTGACAGAAGACAGGGCACCACAGAGAGCAGTGTTATACAGATACAGTGGTAACAGACCCAGAGGTCGACCACGCTGACGATGGAACGCAGAAATATCAGAGACACTGAAAAGTACTGTATACGAAGCGAACAGCAGGGCCTGTTCTAGAGATCTCTTCCTGTCCTGACGCCAAGAGGCATTCCAGGAGGAGAGAAAAGAAGAAGACTTACTGAACAATACTAAGCCCCAAAGATAAGTGCAATAGCTAAAGTTCACATTTTTATTTTCAGGGCTCATATTCCTACAGCACTTTATTTTGATTTGAAGAAACTGAGTTCCCCAAATGAAACATCAGCTGCCAAATTTCCTATCCCTGATTCAAATGTCTTCAAGGAATATGTTGAAAATCTTGGCATCAGCAACAACACCCATGTTGTTGCCTATGACAGGTTAAACACAAGATCCTCCTTTAGAACATGGTTTTTGTTTAGGGTAAGTTGATTCATTGTTGTTACAATGAAAGCTGCTTTACAGGATTGTATTTCTTAATGTTTGGCTCACTTCAAAATGTTGGTAACTTTGGATCAGATCTGTATTACAGTATGTAGAATACACAAAATGCTGCATATATTTAAGAAAAGTATAAACTTTGCTGGTCTGTGCAACAGCAAAGAAAAAATTATATGTACTTGGGTCTTTAAAGTCTCTTGTACATGTTTCTAGTCTCTCAGTCACATGCATACACACATGATGAATACATTTGCACACCACTAGGTGTGCACAGGCGCACATACATGCATATTCCCCTTTCCACCAGAGTAAAACAGAATGGTACAAATTTTGTGTTTTTTGTTGCATGAGCTTGTAGTTAAAAGAATTAAAATTGCTAGAGAATAAAAAGAGAATGCAAGAAAATAAAAATAAAAATACTAACCCTTGTTAGCAATAAACATTTGTGCTGTTTGTATAATTCAGATTGTTAGAAGTTACTTTTTTTCTTTCTTAATTTAGTGCACATTTTTTTTCCATGGCTCATCCAGGTTTTATTCTATTTAGATTATTATGACTATCAATTGGTGTCCAAATTCTTATACAGAATATTATTAACAAGTGTAATAGCAAAATTGATCACTGGCATCATGATAGCTAATAGACTGAAATGGTTGGGAAATATTGAAAGAATGTCAGATGACAGAGAAGTAAAAACTGTATACACCAGGGAGATGAATGGTCGTAGACCACGAGGGAGACCAAGAAGTCCATGGAGAGATAATATCCAGACAGACCTGCAAACACTTGGTGTTACCAACTGGAAAGAGAAGGCCAACCAAAGAGATGAATGGAGGCGGGTGATATCTGCAGCAATGAACCTCATGGGCTCGGAATGCGTAAGAAGAAGAAGAAGAAATGATAGCAAATTAGAGCACAGCCCAATAAAATGAGCGTGAGTATACGCCAGTGCATCTTCTGGAGTTTCATGTTTTTGTCCTTTGTTTTTTCCCCCAGCTGTTTGGTCATGATAAAATATCTGTGTTAAATGGAGGTCTGAGGCAGTGGCTTACAGATGGATTCCATGTAACTACAGAAGAACCAACTGTCGAGGTATGGCGATAGAATTGTATTCTGTCATATTTATGTCTCAGTTTTTAAGAAAATGGGGGAGGGTGTGGGATGGAGAAAATAATCAGTAACTTGAGTGTGTGGAGTTGTCTCATCCTTGCTTATTAATGCCATCTGCATAGTTCTATCCCCAGCAGTTACTGGGGCAATTGCAATTGGCTCATCAGGTTCATTGGCTTGTGGTGATGAAATGCCTGTCAGCAGATTTTTGTCTGCAGTTACTGACTTTGCCATCCCCCCAGAGGTTTCATGTTTGTTTAAGTATCTTTCCTGGTTATTGATAGGGCCTGGTGGAGTTCACCAACTTGTAAATATAAGTAAATTTGTAATTCTTTCAAGGTCTAAAATGTTTTGTGAACTACACAATAAAAAATCCAAACAGCTATAGTTAATAAAAGTCATTTTATTTGAGATGCCATTAAAATGAATTTTTTTTTTAAATCACTCAGAAAGCAGTTTTCAATGTTAACTTCCGAAAACATTTGCTGCGAGACTTTGCAGCTGTGATGAAAAATGTAACCTCACAAACAGAGCAGCTAATGGATGCCAGACCACCTGAAATGTTCTGTGTACCAGATAAAGGTTTGTAAATGATGTTTCCATAAAATGTTTTTCATCATGTTGTGTTGAAACCAGTTGTTCTTTCACACATGCTGTTTACCAGCTACTTTTGACACATCCCATTTCGGTTCACATATGAATATGTGGTACTCCTGTCAAATCTGGACGAAGACTAAAAGCCTTGGACGACTTAGTCAGAGTTCTCTCCCGTGGCCGCACTCCAAACAGTGATCGGAAAAGCCACAACGAAACAAAGAAGACAGTCACGTCGACATCAGGGCTGCCAATGCTTGGTTGTTTCCCCCAGATCTGGGTTTTTTTTCGACGCTGCAGGACAATTATGGGTGTTTTTTTTTGGGTGTGTTTTGTTTGTTGGTGTTTGCCAATTTGTATGCTTTAATGATCGATAAATTTGCGTGGTTAGGGGGTAGGGGTTAGGGAGTAGGATTAGGGTTAGCGGTAGGGTTAGGTTTAGCGTTAGATTTGACAATTTTGACGCCGGAGTTCCCTATAATCGCGCACAGTCCCATACACACACACAAACAATCGAGGGCCTCTGGATGCTGGTCAAACGCACAATTCGCCAACGATTGGGGGGCACCAGCCGCACGCTATTGGTGTCATATTTGGCAGAATTTCAGTGGCGCCACTCCCACAAACATCATATTGTCGGCCAGTATTTCGAAATCCTACGTCAAAATTTTCACATCTATCCCTAACCCTACCAATAACCCTAACCCTACCCCTAACCCTAACTCTAATCTAACAACCGCATGATGATGACTACACAACCATTCACAATGCCTCACGCAACCGTACGCAACCCTGCACGCAACCATATGATGGTGCCACGATGCCTCACGCAACCGTACGCAGCCCTACACGCAACCGCAGGATGATAGGTAAGTGTGTCGTTTGTTTCATTTGTTTTCCGATCACTGTTTGGAGTGCGGCCAAGGGAGAGAACTCTAAGTCGTCCAAGGCTTTTTATTCTTCGTCCGGATTTGACAGGAGAGCCGAATATGTTATAGGTGATCAGCTATGTATCTGAGCAAACAAGAAGTGTAAAATTGATATCACAGCTGAGTGAAATAAAAACTATGATGGTTGGCAAGGCAGGTAACAAAATAAGCATTGAAAGTGAGAATACCTGCCATGATTTGTGTGTGTGTGGTGGGAGGGATCTCAGTTGTTCTCCTGGCGTAGCAAGTGACCAACGTAAAACAGTTAGGAAAATTACTGGCAGTAAACATGAGACATTGATTGTTATTCATATAAATAAACATGAAGGTTGCTGTGTTTTGTCTGTTTACTAATTTCTTATATTGTGCAAAAAGTAAATTTAGAAGAAACATGCAAGACTTTAGAAAAATGGGCAAGTTGAAGAAGGAGGTGTAGGCGTGTCATGTAAATATCCTACTACAAATAGCATGAAGGAACTAGGGTTGTACCAAATAGTGATTTCCACTATTAAACCGAATACGAATAGCAGCACTAACTATTCGAGCGAATACGAATAGTGTTTAAAAAAAACACACACACACACAGATAATGTCAAAAGTACGCTGAACTTTTACTTCACATAAAGTAGCACACAATAGTCATCTTCTTCTTTAGCATTTTGAGTCCTTGAGGTTTACTGCTGCAGATATCACTTGTCTCCATTCATCTCTCTGGTTGGCCTTATCTTCACAATTTGTGACACCAGTTGTTTGCAGGTCTGGCTGGAAATTATCTCTCGAACTTCTTTTTTGTCTGCCTCGTGGTCTATGCCCATTCCTCACTCAGGTGTATACAGTTTTTACTTCTCTGTCATCTGACATTCTTGCAATATGCCCCAACCATTTTAGTCTGTTAGTTCTCATGATGCCAGCGATCAATGGTAATTTAAACAGATTATATGTTACGTTGTTGCTTCTCACTCTCATTCCCCGCTGTTAGCATTTTTGACGGGTCCAACGATTTGTCGTAAGACTGTTTTCGAAAGCCTTTAAAAAGCCTTATTTCTTTTATTTCTTCTTCAAGTTTCAGAGCCCTATAAAATTACCGGTCTTATCAACATTTTATATATTTTGATCTTGGTGTTGCGAGACAGACAGATGTTGTAGGGCATAGTATACTTTATTTCTAGATTGTATTTCTTCTCTCAGCAAGTTAGAGCAGTTGAAGTTTGCACCCAAGTACTTATATGTTTCCGTTCGTTTGATTTTCATATTATCGACTTGGATGCGGCCGGAGTTTATATTCTTTCCATGTCTAGTTAGTATTTGTACAGAATAGTAAACATTTAAAAACATTTTATGTTTTGCATCCTTCAGTCAGTCTGTGGTAACTAATAACTAGGAGTGAAAGAATCCTAAGTATTACAGATGGATTCCAAGTAACTAAACTTGGAAATTGTCACTGACAGCTTAGTTAATGCAGGAAAGCTGTATTAGCTTCCAACAAAACCAATCGTTCCATGTTGTCAGCATTAAGGCCTTGTAAGCAGAAGTGGGTGTAAGGTAACTACTATTCGTATTCGGCCTGACCCCAACTATTCGGCTGAATACCGAATAGTCAATAGGTCCACTATTCCACCCAAAGCGAATATGAAGCGAGTATTCTGTACAGCCCTAGAAGGAACCAAATTAATTTTGTGGGTTGTTATTCATTAGATGTTTTCATTTGACAAGAAATGTTGATGCTACTTCTTTCCTGAAAAAAAAGTATTTTTGTTGTATGGGCTGTGAAATTAGAAAGCATCACATGGATTGAAGTAAATGAAGAGTTAACATGTGCCATCTCCACGTGTTGATTCCGGGGCTCTGTTGTGGAGAAAATAGGAATAGACCCACTGCCTCCCCAAAAAGCTTGTCATAAGAATCAACTGATTATGAGTTTTCTTCGAAGGAGGGGTGCATCTGCCTGAGAGGCAAGAAACCAACAATCTGCATACAAATAGGTCAGATGTGTAAAAGAGATGGAACAAGATTAAAGTCCAGAAGTGGGTGAAAAACCACAATTTGCCACTGTAGTTACAGTCGGTGACCTCGAAGAAGAATATGTGCCATCAGATGTGACTATGATCAAGCAGTTATTGAAGGAATATAGGAAACCCTACATCTGAGAGATGTCAACATACATTATGACAGACACTTGTCTAGGACTGAGAAAATTATTAAAGACACACATCTGTAAAATTATTCTTGACAAAACTGATTCAGCAACACTGGGTGACTTTAACTTAGTGTGATTTCAAAACTGAGCCAATCACGCTTGGTGACTGCTACTTATTGTGATGATAAAACTGCCAGACTGTCACATATTGTGATGTCAAAACTGAGCCACCAGAACTGTGTGACTTGTCACATATTGTGATGTCAAAACTGAGCCACCAGAACTGTGTGACTTGTCACATATTGTGATGTACCAGAACTGTGTGACTTGTCACATATTGTGATGTCAAAACTGAGCCACCAGAACTGTGTGACTTGTCACATATTGTGATGTCAAAACTGAGCCACCAGAACTGTGTGACTTGTCACATATTGTGATGTCAAAACTGAGCTTGCCGAAACTGGGTAACTGTCACAAATTATAATGTCAAAAATGAGCCATCAAAACAGGGTGACTTTTGATAATAATGATAAATTTAAGCCAGTAACTCTGAGTGACTGTCATTATCGTGATGTCAGAAAGGAAATAAATGTTAATACGAAAGACAGGGTCCCTCACAATAAAAATTTGTAACCATGGAAATGTATGAGAAAGACTGTAAAACTGACTATAAGACATGAAACCAGAAAGGACATCATGAGAGAAAAGGTGACATAGAACCAATACTAAACTACGCACAAAGACATTAAAATAGTTTTTTTTTCACTTAGAATTGTAATGTAGTGCCAGACCATACCAAGTTTATACCACACACACACAAAAACCCTAACAGAAACTAAAGAAGAATACTGTTAAAGATACCTAATCATATGCTTATTTACACTCATACAGAGCAAATTTAATAAAGATTTTTTTCTGGTGCCGTGTATAGCTAACATAGATGAAGTTGATAGTAGACTTGGGTTATGTCCACCTACATGTGTAAGCTCTAAACAGATCTTTTCCATTCTCATAGTCAAATAGATCATTACGGTCTGAGGAGAATGGCGCTGCAAGGAGTTGCTAGGGGATCTGACCGATACTCAACACTCAAGGCAAAGGCGATACGGATGTACAGTTAGACAGTTATTGGTGCCAACAAAATTGTAAATCTTCGATTGCTGCTGAATATGGGGATGGAACGCTTATGGGAGTGTCTCAGTTGCTGTGATGTCGATTATTAATTCAATATCCATATGATTTTAAAGATGTAATGTTACATTTTTATAATGAAAATACACCCATTTGTTTCTACATAATTCTGCTGTCAGATCAGCCAGGAGGCCATATACCCGGAGCAAAGAATATTCCATTTGGCTCATTGTTCAACGAGGATGGCACTGTGAAGTCTAAGGAGGATTTGAAAAAATGTAAGTTACCAAATGTTTGTCTTGTTTATTGTTTCTAATCACATACAGAATGGCTAAAGAAATTAGAAAACTATATATAACTTTAACACAGAGGCCGCCAGTTTTCTGTGGTCATGTAATGAGAGGAGAGCCCTGTGATGACTGGAAAGAGCAGCAGTAGAAGAGGCAGAGGCACACCAAGAGAGACGATGCTTTACAGTCTTAAGTGATGGCACATGGGAATATCATCAGTGTAATTGATTCCAAATACCAAAAACCTGGATCTGTAAAAAGACATGAGTGCATACACTGCCAGAAAAGGCATATGATGATGATGATGAATTTCAGGTGGAGGGGGCAAGGCACTGGGACAGTTGGGGGGGGGGGGGGATTAGCTTCAGATGCATTTGGGGCATTAAATTAAAAAAAATAAGGCAGCAGAAAGGGTGAGGGGGGGGGGGGGGGGGGGGGGGTGTTGAATTTTTCATAAACAATTCTTGTTTTAATGTAGTGTAACAAATAACAATCATAGTGATTGCCTAATTGTCCAGATAAGCACAGAAATTATGGTATAACCAATCAGGTTCATCCTTCTCATTATTAACATTAATTAAAATACCTTTTCTTGAGCTTATTTTAATATTCTCATACTTTCGACACTGAAGGGAAGGAGGATTTGAGCTCAACAAGTAACAGTTACTGACAACATGTGTTTTAAATAAGTGCAATGAATTCCTTTAGCATATGACCAAGTTGTCATGGCAACTACAGGGGAAGAGCTGCAACCATACATGGATAATCTCAACATAGCAGCAGAAGCACAAAACATGAAAATTCACAGTGAAAAACAGAAGTTGTAATGACTGTAAGAACAGAAGAACCAATAAGGATCTGCATAGAAAAACCAACAGCTCAAGCAAGCAGATGACTTCAGGTATCCAGGTAGCATAATATCATCCAGTGATCCAATAGAAGAATCAAAATAGTGATTGATCATAGATGTAATAAATCAAATCATTGGACAGAAGTGTCTGAAGGACCTCTATGAGTCTTACTTCCCAAAACACAAGTGTTAGGACTTATTCAGGCTTCATCAATAAAAAATGTTCCCAAGTTTTTAAGGTTACTGATATTTGTTTCCAAATGAAAAAAATGCTTGCATAAATTATGCAAATCAGAATAGTAAATTTGAATAAATTTGGAGATTTCAAGATTCATACATTTTCTGTTAGCTTATTCAATTTCCTATACGAATAGGAATCGTTTTCTGAATGTTAATTAAATGCTTTATTTTTTTTCAATTTTGTGTGTGTGTAAACCAAGAATTCCCCTATGATTGCTCTGTCTTCTTGGCACTGAAACTCCAAACTCCATTTCCAAAGGGTTAAAAATCTACCTAAAGCAGTTCAGGATCCTCACCGGTGCTATGGAGTTTGTGCATTGTGCTGAGATTCTTCAGACTCAGGCTTGAGTTAGAAAATGTTGAACAGAGCACTTATGTGTGCCATGATGTTGATCTGTTGTTCAAACCATCAACCACAATTGAATAAAGCTAGAATATTTTGGTGAGCCACAGAAGGAAAGTACATAGTGCCATAGTGGGTTAAGATTCAGCCTTTAATAGTAGCAGAATTGCGATAGATACAGATGCGGGGTCGACTTATCCTCAAAGAATAAGTATTTCATAATATTCAGTTGACAAAGAAAACCACCCACCCAGCTTCATGATGCCATAACCTAGAAAAGGACTATTCAACTGCTGGCTGCGGGCCATATGTAGCACACGGAGGCCTAGCAAGTGGGCCAATTATATCGTATTGATAATCTCTCTACACTGGGACTCCAGCCTCTGGCCCAGGACAATTCCCATTTTCACCATTGTGGCCCCTGAGTTAACTTGGGTCATCTGCCTTGACCTAGAACATGTGAAGGTCTAGCATGTTACAACCAGTGTTGGCATCTGTCATGCTACTCTCTTTTCTTTCCTTAACAAATACTTGTTGATAGTGTTACCATATTTGATTTGATTTCCATGTATACTCTGATTGAAAAAAACTAAAGTTTACAATGGATATGTCAATTGTCTGATTAATGGCTGCACTTGAGCAGCTGACAGTGTTCATTGTCTAAATGTTGACTTCTACTACATTTGGGCAGCAGGGTAAATTGAACATTCCTTTTCTGACAGTGTTTACTGAAGCTGGTATTGACCTGCAAAAACCCCTGGTGTCATCTTGTCAGATAGGCATGACAGCGTGCGGGCTGATAGCTGCAGCATACATACTTGGCCGAGAGGATGTGCCCTTGTATAATGTAAGAATTTGTTTGACCATGTCATATTATGAATTCAAGGTTTGTTACATCGAGTTTGTCAGTCTGAAGATTAGTAATGTCCATTTATTAAATAAATAAAAAAAGTCAATGAGGGGTCTTCTGATGTTATCACTTATCTGTCACAATGTTTTCAGTCATCTATTAGCACTGTCTCAGATGTTTTCACTTGTCTGTCACATGGTTGATGTCTCACATGTTTTTACTTGTTTGTCACATGGTTGATGTCTCAGATGTTTTCACTTGTTAGTCACATGGTTGATGTCTCAGATGTTGCCACTTGTTTTTCACATGGTTGATGTTTCACTTGTTTGTCACATGGTTGATGTCTCGCATGTTTTCACTTGTCTGTCAAATGGTTGATGTCTCAGACATTGCCACTTGTCTGTCACATGGTTGATGTCTCAGATGTTGCCACGTGTCTGTCATATGGTTGATGTCTCACATGTTTTCACTTGTCTGTCACATGGTTGATGTCTCAGATGTTTTCACTTGTCTGTCACCTGGTTGATGTCTCAGATATTGCCACTTGTCTGTCACATGGTTGATGTCTCAGATGTTGCCACGTGTCTGTCACATGAGTGATGTCTCAGATGTTTTCACTTGTCTGTCACATGGTTGATGTCTCACATGTTTGCTGTCTCACGTGTTGCTTCTCTTGTTTGTCAGTGTTGATATCTCAAATATTGCCACTTTTCTGTCAGGGTTATTGTCTCAGCCAGTCCTCTGTCAGTGTTGCCACTTGTCTGTATTACTTTTTTTTTAAAAACTATATACACTACTATGCCAATAATATATAACCATATACATTCCAGGGATCATTTACGGAATGGAGTAAATTAGCCGACCCAAGCATGATAGTCAAAGAGAAGCAAAACTGATTAACTGTCTGCAAACCTGTGGGTTAAACTATTCAGAAAAGCATCATCATCATCATGTCAGTCTTTCAAGAGACCTATGTTAACAGGTTACCTATTGACAGTACAGTTTAATATTAAATATGTGGTGGAGCTTCCAACAATTGATTTATAATAATTATCTGTTTTTGCATTTGGAACTGTTTGTAACAAGAAAAGGTTTTTGGAACGTCTTGGCTGCTTTAGTTTAGTAGATAGCAAGCTTCTGGTATAGTTGCTAGTAAATGTCTTGAATATAAGGCAGGGTTATGAGTTTTCAAGACAGGATGAGAAATCAGCTCACTATTATTTAAAATTATGTACTCCAGAATAACATGCACCATAACCGTCATCACAGTGAATCAAAGAAGAGTACTAATTTGATTAATTCCAGAGAAAAACAGAAATCAAGGAAAGAATTTCAAGAAAAGTTGGAAAAAAATGCAAGAGAAAATCAAAAGATGTTTTACAAGACCCTCAAGAACATGAGCTGAAATTGATAAAAGACAAGGAAGGGGCTCTGCTTACTACTACAGATGATGATATGGACAGATTTGATTTAAGAAACGACATCACAGCACTCGGGGCATTCCCATAAGCGCCCCACCCCCATCTTCAGCCAGTGAAGAGTCCCAATACTAATGGTGCCAGTAGCATTCTGATTAAACATCCGTCTCACCCTTTCTCTGAGCCTCGAGCATCTGCTAGAACCTCTCGCCGCTCCCCCATCCCCCCCCCCCCCCCCGCATCTGTCTCACCAGACTGTGGTGATCCATCTGCTCCTCCGAACTGTACACACTCTCCCATAAGGCACCAACCATGTCTGCCTTATCATGTATCAGTATTCCACCAAGTTGTGCAGAGCCAGCCAGTCTGTCCACCTGTTCATTTCCCAACACACTGGCCTCCTGCTATATGTTTTCTGACAGAGGGATCGAAGAAGAAGAGCTCAAAGCTTTCATGTGACCATACCTGACTCCATCAGGCGGCGCAGTATCTTTTGCTTTTTCAAAATTTGTTTGACATCTTCCACTTGTATTATGTCCTCATAATGCATATTCTTCAAGGTGCCAGCTAACTCCTAACTGCATCTCTGATGTCTATATCATTATGATCTGTCTGAGAACTTCTGAATTTGCAGTGCCAGCTCACCAGTCCCTGCACTCACGACCTAAAGTGATAAATACCCTGCATAAGTCTGAAACTTGCTTTGACCCACTCACTGTGCACAAATTTATCAAGCCTGCATGTGTCTGATTATGTCTTCAGCTTGCGCCATCTTTTCAGTTTTGACACTTAGACCTACTCAGGGCTTCATGCAAAAGGTGCCTTGTCTGCAGCTACTCTGAGATATGACTTTGCTTGCAGAACTTGAAGCCTATCTGCAATTGTATCTTCAATATATACAATCTAAAAACAATTGTGCTCTCAATGTTCTGAAAATTGTGTGAGCTGCCTTACAGTTGTGGCATGTTATAGTTCCCCCACCAAATTAGCATGTGGTTATTTTTTCATGGGTTTTTGATGCAAAGAGATGAGGCGGGTAGGTATTTGTACCCCACCAGCGATAAACACCCGGTGACACAGTGTCACCATGCGGATCCCCCGTGAAGAGGTCCCGGAAACCCCTTTCAGCTGTTTATGGCCTGGGTGGGGCTTTAAAACAACAAAAAAAATGCATCCAAGTCTTTATAATCACTGAATAAACAATGTGGAGCCATCAATGACAACTGTGGTTATATAGAAGGAATGTGGCCGGTGAAAAAATCCAAAACTCGAATTGGGGAAAATATTACAGATATGAGTCAGGCAATCAAAATACTCATCCGTATAAAGAGCTGGAGCTTGCTGAATGTGCTAGAGGGAAAGCTTGCAAGACACATATGAATAGACATCAAGAGAGGGAATGAGAGAATCACCAAAAGGCTGTTGTCAATTCTAAATACCTACTTTCTAGATAGCCCCTAATGATGAATTAATATTGACAGTTATAAATTGCTGTATTATTTACATTGTCTTGTTCATGTCACATCATTTATTGTGCATTTAATCACTTTCCAGCATTCTTCAGTGTCCTCCATTACAACTGTCATGAATATTCATGTCATGGTTTAGATATACATGTCATGGTTCAGATATACATGTCATGGTTTAGATATACATGTCATGGTTTAGATATACATGTCACGGTTCAGATATACATGTCACGGTTCAGATATACATGTCATGGTTCAGATATTCAATAAATTATATTTTCAAAGTGTCCATCTTGTTTCTGTTGTACAAACTGTGACCATGTTGGTGACTACTGACATAAACTTTCGTCCTGAGAAGATAAAACACCAACACTTCTGGTTGGGTCACTTTTCTTGACCTGTTTACGAGATGTATAGTTAATGCAACTGGTAAGGTTTGTGTTTGCACAAACGTTTAGGTCAGGATATGAAAAAATTAACATTTAGAGTGGGGCTTCTCTTTGTACTAAATGGCTTTTTTCAAAGTGAAGATGTCAGATTTTCTCATAAGCCTCAGCAGTAAAGGCCAAGGTAGGAGTCACCCAATACAGGTGATTTTTGCTTGTATTCCATTTATTGCTTCACCTGTGCATGACTGTTATTTACTTCTCCCATGCATCTATGATTTCAAATTTTTTTTGTTGAAAATGATACAATACATTTTCAACAAATTTATCAGAGGTAAACTTTCCACAGATTTTTTAAAGAGTTCTCAGGGCGAAATTAACAATTTTGGTACTTATGCAACTCAGATTTCTATTTTATTGTTTGTATAGAGGCCACCGTCCTAACGTCGTCAATTTAAAATAAGCCAGTTTTTAGCAAAATCATTTCAACTTTAATGTTTCACTGAAAGAAAAAAGCCTTTGAAGGACCTAAGCCAGCCGAGGTTACAGCTTCACTGCAGATGGGCTGCCCTATATGCTCCTGTGTCAGTGGAAATCACATTTTCTTATTTGATAACTAATAAAAACATGTTAGGCTCAGTGAAACCTTGGAGCTGGCACGTGCAAAGTAAATGCATAAAGCAGCTGTCAGATGTGCCAACATTAACAGTCCCATATCATAACTTAAGCACACTGTTGCAACCAGTCAATGACAAAAACCAGCGGTGTAAAAATATTAGTGCATAAGCACAAGCCAGCCCTCAAGTTTTCAAGAGTCAAATCTTTGAAGCAGAAGTTTCTGCAGGATCTCTAGTGAAGTGATGAACATTTTCACTGATGAACATACAAAAGCTTAAAGATCAACAACTTCGCCAATGCTTGTGTCTTTCTCATGATAGCTTCCTTTGATTTCTGTCTTCTACGTACACAAACAGTTTTTGATGTCCAAAAATATTTTTTGGTAAGAGATGTATTTCCACACTTGCAACACAGAAGTGATATCTCTGTAGACTCTATGAGTCACTATGCCTGAGATATTAATGTTCAATCTGTTAGATCCTGATATACCATGACAAAGCTGACCAATCTGTTCATCAAAACTACCCAGCAGTATTTTGTTTTGGTCAAGATAAAAAAAAATCCATAAACCAGTTTCCAATATCGTTTGTATCTTATGTCTAGGGGTGACCATTGAAGTGCCCTGCAGTTTAAAACAAGATGTGGGATAGCTTCTGCATTTTGAATGAGTTAATATAAAATTGTTAATGAGCACAGGATTATTTTGATTATTGTTTCCCTCCCCCATAGCAGACTAAACATTAGCATAACAAAAAAAAAGACAAAAAAATTTTTTAATGACTTTATTAAAGTATGAATTTTTAGCCAAGTATGGTCTGGAGCACAAACTAATGATGAACAAAACAATTACAGTTGTAAAGAAGATCGATAAAACCCAAACTTTATTAACAGACAATAGGGGTAACAACAAAAAATTAAAAGATGTGATGATGGAAATACTTGTCTCAACTTCCTGATCAAATGATAAACATACAAAACGCAGAAAAATATAAAGCAGACACATTAGGGGCCAATTATTTAGCAGTTGCCAGGGGATTCCTCAGCACTAAAATGACAGAATCCCCACGAAGAAACATTTTGGAGATGAATCTGTCTTTGTTCACAGGTTTTGATTTCTTCTTTCCTTTGCCAGCTTTGGGTTGCTCTGTCCACATCTCTTTCACATTCTCTAAGACCATATTGCAATGTCTGTAAACAGAAACAATAATAGGAAATAATTGAAACACATATTTAGCATGGGAAGTAAAGGCAACAGGCTTCAGTGATTGTCAACATTTTTGCGGGATCATATCACACACTGGTCTATTAAAAACAAGTTTGTTATATGCATGACTTGCACAGAAAGAAGCACTCTGGAATAAGCATGACCATACCCAATGGTTAAATTGTGGAAACCCCCATTTTACAGGACAGCAGCATCATCAGCTGCACATATTCACACGGCATACTATTCCAGTAACAAACTTCACGGCCGCTAGTTTTGTTGTTAGGATCTCAAAGATAACAATCAAACAGGCACAAACCCTGAATCTTGCTCAACCGTAAAGCCATAAAATAGTTACATGGGAACACTACAAAAAGTTTACTGAGTAACTGGTGGTCCAGTACAGATGCGGGTTGTCTGTTTTAAATGTGTCACTCATTCATTCAGTAGCATGTCCCTCGCGGAACCTCGCTGCCATAACAACCCTCCGGAAAACCTTCCTATCCTGAGCAAGATGTCCTGCGTCTGATACACCCATCTGGAGATCATCTGCCACATCCTGCACCCATCTTCTCCTTGGCTTTCCTCTTCCTCTCTTCCCAGGCATATACCCCTCCATTATTGTTCTCTCTAGACTTCCATGACGTTTCAAGTGACCAAAATATTTCAATTTTCTTTGTTTTATTGTCTTTACTAGCCAACCCTCTTCAATATTCAGCTCTTGAAGTATGGATGCATTTGTTCTTTTCTTTACCCAAGATATTCTTAGAACCTGTCTGTAACATTTATATTCAAATGCAT